TTGTGAAGACCTCAGGGAATCTCATTTTGGGTTCTTCACACGCCTTGTAATTCTCTGTGTATGATAGTTCTCCACTTTTTTCAGTTTCATTACTTGTTCCTTCACTGCTGTTTTCCTCCTGATGTGGCTAAGAAGCAGTTTTGGTTTGGTCATGGCTTTACTTGCGATGTCATTTTCAACTGTTTTTATGCTTCTCTCCTCACACTGAGGTGTGTGTGTGTGTGTATGTGTGTGTGTGTGTGTGTGTGTGTGTGTGTGTGTGTGTGTGTGTGTGTGTGTGTGTGTGTGTGTGTGTGTGTGTGTGTGTGTGTGTGTGTGTGTGTGTGTGTGTGTGTGTGTGTGTGTGTGTGTGTGTGTGTGTGTGTGTGTGTGTGTGTATGTGTGTGTGTGTGTGTGTGTGTGTGTGTGTGTGTGTGGTGTGTGTGTGTGTGTGTGTGTGTGTGTGTGTGTGTATCTGTGTGTGTGTGTGTGTGTGTGTGTATCTGTGTGTGTGTGTGTGTGTGTGTGTGTGTGTGTGTGTGGTGTGTGTGTGTGTGTGTGTGTGTGTGTGTGTGTGTATCTGTGTGTGTGTGTGTGTATGTGTGTGTGTGTGTGTGTGTGTGTGTGTGTGTGTGTGTGTGTGTGTGTGTGTACTCACCTAATTGTACTCACCTAATTGTGCTTGCGGGGGTTGAGCTTTGGCTCTTTGGTCCCGCCTCTCAACTGTCAATCAACTGGTGTACAGATTCCTGAGCCTACTGGGCTCTATCATACCTACATTTGAAACTGTGTATGGAGTCAGCCTCCACCACATCACTTCCTAGTGCATTCCATTTATTAACTACTCTGACACTGAAAAAATTCTTTCTAACGTCTCTGTGGCTCATCTGGGTACTAAGTTTCCACCTGTGTCCCCTTGTTCGTGTCCCACCCGTGCTGAAGAGTTTGTCTTTGTCCACCCTGTCAATTCCCCTGAGAATTTTGTAGGGGTTATCATGTCTCCCCTTACTCTTCTGTTTTCCAGGGATGTGAGGTTCAGCTCCTTTAGCCTTTCCTCGTAGCTCAATCCTCTCAGTTCCGGGACGAGCCTGGTGGCATACCGCTGAATCTTCTCTAACTTTGTCTTGTGTTTAACTAGGTATGGACTCCAGGCTGGAGCTGCATACTCCAGGATTGGTCTTACATAAGTGGTATACAGGGTTCTGAAAGATTCCTTACACAAGTTTCTGAAGGCAGTTCTTATGTTGGCCAGTCTAGCATATGCCGCTGATGATATTCTTTTGATGTGGGCCTCTGGGGACAGGTTCGGTGTGATATCAACCCCCAGATCCTTCTCTCTATTTGATTCTTGCAGGATTTCCCCTCCCAGATGATACCTTGTGTTCAGCCTCCTGCTCCCTTCGCCTAATTTCATCACCTTACACTTTCCAGAGTTGAACTTCAGCAGCCATTTTCTAGACCATTCCTCCAGTTTATCCAGGTCATCCTGTAGTCTCTGTCTATCTTCATCCGTCTTGATTCTTCTCATAATTTTTGCATCATGGATGGGTCCAAGTACTGAGCCCTGTGGGACTCCGCTGTGTGTGTGTGTGTGTGTGTGTGTGTGTGTGTGTGTGTGTGTGTGTGTATCTGTGTGTGTGTGTGTGTGTGTGTGTGTGTGTGTGTGTGTGTGTGTGTGTGTGTGTGTGTGTGTGTGTGTGTGTGTGTGTGTTTATTCGTGTGCAAATTATTTTAAACCAGGGAAATAATAATTTATTAGTGTTTTCGTATTTCGCTTCCGCTGTGTATGCGTGATAGACAGAGAAATATGTATGTAATAGAATAATAGAGTGAAATAGATCCATTTTCCAATAGAAACCCGACGGTTAAAATGGTGGGATCCAAGAGCTAATAGCTCAATTCTATATGTTGTTTAAGATTCGCTACTTGGAACAAAAAGTCCCAAGTAGCACGGGCTATGGTGAGCCCGTAGTGGACTTTCTCGATTGTATAGATATACAAAAACAAATATTAAATACACCCACAAACGAAATAAACTCACAGATAGCAAAGGCTAAGAAATTAGCACTGTTTTCCTATTTCAAATAGAAACAATACACCTTTGTCCTCTGTTTTCGTACTGTGGAGGCTGCAGGAGGCAGATAAAAAGGTCCCGGCCGCCGCTGACCTTCTTTTCTCCACCCCACCACAATATTTGCCCCTTGGAAAGAGTTTGTAGAGAGTTAATGAAAAGTTTTATTTGAGTTCATGCACTAAGGGTCACATATTTCTTGGCTTCGAGTGGCATTGGTAAAAGTCTTGTAGTTACCTATTTGTGTCTGCGAGATCGAGCTTCATCTCTTGGGCTCTCCTTTCTAACCACCGTTCATCTAATGCAATGGCGAGCGACTTATATCATAATCCCTTCATGTCTGGTTCACACGTTTCTTCACATATCTATTTCTTTTCTGTCCTTGCCTCTCTTTCTATTGGTATCCACACTAAACATTCCCTTCTCTTCCACTTTGTCTGGTATGTCTCATCTCTTTATTTTCCTTTCTTGCAACATCAGGTCCAGCTTCTTTAAGATGAGTTGTGTTGTGTGTGTGTGTGTGTGTGTGTGTGTGTGTGTGTGTGTGTGTGTGTGTGTGTGTGTGTGTGTGTGTGTGTATGTGTGTGTGTGTGTGTTTGGAGGCAGGAGACGGGGGGAGAACGTGTGTGTTTGCCACGAGGAGACGGGGACGTATGTGTAAGATCATGGGAGACTCAATCTACTTAGACATATGTGAAAATATGTTTATTGCTAGAAACTATATACGGAACTATTTACACTGCTATTACGAATATATTTAAGTACTTACACTATAAGTGAAAATATTACATAAATATATAACCTCACAAGATGTGTATCCAGTGATTTACTCTAAAAGGGTCGACTGATCTATTTATAAATAAATTGACACACATACGAAAGAGAGAGAGAGAGAGAGAGAGAGAGAGAGAGAGAGAGAGAGAGAGAGAGAGAGAGAGAGAGAGAGAGAGAGAGAGAGAGAGAGAGAGAGAGAGAGAGAGAGAGAGAGAGAGAGAGAGAGAGAGAATAATATCAGCTTTCGATGCTGTAAACGTCTCCAGCTCACGTTCTCGTTCTACCCATTCCTCCTAAATAGAACAAACACCACTAACAGAAAAAACCTCACCTCCTCCCGTTCGAATCCTCCCCTCGCCTTGAAAGAGAAAAAACTAGAGACAAACATATTCAGAGAAAGACGGGGAAGTATTCCTTAAATACTTGCTTATTTAATAATACATCTTCAGAAGGAGATCCTTCTGAAGATGTATTATTAAATACGAAAGTACTTAAGTAATATCCTGTCTTAATTCTTCCTTCGTGGTGTGCCATTGTCACATTGTTCATCACTTGTTAATTTCTTCATGATTTACACACACACCCATATTATTTATATATACGGACTGCATGGGTTGCATTGCGGAAGCACAAAGGGCTGGCATGCAAGACACAATGAGGTCAATGACATCATCAAGAGAAGCCTCGTCTCAGCTAGGTGCCCAGCGGAGAGAGAACCTCGCATCCTAGGGGTCCAAAACCCGGATTTCCCCGCACTTCGCCCTGATGGCATCACCATATACTCATGGAAGGAGGGTAGACAGTTGGTGTGGGACTACACATGTGTATCCACCCTGGCTGACACCTATGTACACTTCGGAGCTGATCAAGCAGGTGGGGCGGCCAACCACAGGGAAACAGCTAAATCACTCAAGTACAGGCGACTGGAAGGTCAATACCTCTTTGTTCCCATAGCGTCTGAGACGCATGGCCCCTGGGGCAAGAGTGCCTTGGGATTTCTCAAGGAATTGGGTTCCAAGCTCATTGACGTTACCAGAGACCCAAGGGCTTCCAGTTTTTTGTTTCAGCGTCTAAGTGTGGCGATCCAGAGGGGAAATGCCTGCTGCGTCCTCGGTTCCTGTCCAGAAGCGGAGGAGCTTCAAGAGATCCATAACCTTTAGGCATTGTCTTGTATAATTTGTAACCTTTAAATACACAATAAAGGAAAAAAAAAAGGGAAGGGGGTGGTAGGAGAAAAGCACACAGAAACTGTATTGGAGGGGACCTACATTCCCTCCAGTGCGTTATGTGTGGTTTCCTCCAAGGCTATGGGTCCCCCTTCTTCCAGCCAGAGGTGGTACTCCCTTCCCTTTTGTTAAAAAAAATATATATATATATATATATATATATATATATATATATATATATATATATATATATATATATATATATATATATATATATATATATATATATATATATATATAAGAAAATAGGGAAGGGAGTGCCACCTCTGGCTGGAAGAAGGGGGACCCTTAGCCTCGGAGGAAACCACACATAACGCATTAGAGGGAATGTTAAGGTCCCCTCCAATACTGTTTCTGTGTGCTTTTCTCCTACCACCTACCTTCCTTGTATGTTTTTTTTTTTTTTACTTTATTATATATTTAAAGGTTACAAGATATACATTGGTTGATACAAAAAGTGATTAAAGGTTATGGATCTCTTGAAGCTCGTCCGCTTCCGGACAGGAACCGAGGATGCACCAGGCATTTCCCCTTTGGATCGCCACACTGAGACGCTGAAACAAAAAACTGGCAGCCCTTGGGTCATTGGTGACGTCAATGAACCTGGATCCCAATCCTTGAGAAATCCCAAGGCACTCTTGCCACTCTTCGCTATAATCACATGAATTTTTTAATTCCATAAGTGTGGAATACAAATCTTTCCCCATTGCTAGAAAGTTTTAAATTGTAATTTTATTAGTAAAAATGTAGTTTGAATAGTAACTCTGGATTAAATTCACCCAGTTCCACCCGTATTTTATCAGGTTTCATCCACAATATTAACATCGCTCCTGTCACACATATCATCCAATGACACAAAACTATATACACTTTGTAGCTCCAAGTGGATATGTTTAATTTTCTAAAGACAAGTGATTCTGTGTTTCTAACTCCAGTGTTTCGCCCCACAGGTTGACCTGCAACATCTGCACCAACAGCGAGGCAGTAATTTAGTAGACCCGGGTATAGATCTCAACGACTACTACATCTCCGTCGAATGGGATATCCTCAAAGTGCCCGCCCTCAGGAACGAACGATTCTATCCGTGCTGCCAAGAGCCCTATCCAGATATCTATTTCAATATCACCATGCGGCGGAAAACGCTTTTTTACACCGTCAATCTCATCATCCCCTGCGTAGGGATCTCCTTCCTCTCCGTACTGGTGTTCTACCTGCCGTCAGACTCTGGCGAGAAGGTGTCCCTCTGTATTTCAATATTGCTCTCCCTCACAGTGTTCTTCCTCCTGTTGGCGGAGATTATTCCGCCAACGTCTCTAGCCGTGCCGCTGTTGGGGAAATACCTGCTCTTCACCATGATTCTAGTAACCCTGTCTGTCATGGTGACCATAGGAGTCCTCAACGTCAATTTTAGGTCCCCGTCAACGCACAGAATGGCCCCATGGGTGCGTAAGATTTTCATTGAGATGTTGCCAAAATTTTTGTGGGTTGAGAGGCCTCAGAAAGACGAAGAAGGCCCCGATGAAATTACTGCCGCAGGGGACACTTCTTTCACACCTTCGAGCGACGGATTCGACAAGTTTCCCTTCGAGGACCACCCGTACGACATCCCAGCGATCCCTCCTTCTCCGTACGACCGTGACAGATACGGGGACGACCATCTGGCCCTTCCAGCTCCTGAGTGTCATTCTCAAGTTCACGTTCACGAGGCCGCGTTCGTGGCGGAGCTGGAGGAGCCCCGCCCTTACCAAGACCACCGGACCTTCAGGAGCATCGAGTACATAGCGCAGCACATGCGTAACGTCGACTCTTTCGGAGAGGTGAGTAGCCTGTTACCAGGATGGAGAGACTAGTCCCCTCCGGTTTGTTGATGTTATCACACTTTATTATTTTCTATTTTAATTATTATAATCTGCTTTATTGTTATCAATATAATTGTGTTATTATTATCATATATATGAGATCAGTCCTTGGTCTAGACGGCCTTCGATAAGCCTAACAACACTCCTGACCCCGACAAAGAGAAAACATTTCCATTAACATCATTAATGTGATTTTGGTTTCGTTCACGTCGATATTTCCATAGTTTATTATTTAAAATAATATATGTTACAAGAAGTAAAGCATGGGCACATTTATAAGCAAGTCTTGAAGCATGTGAATCATAGAAGCATGGAAGGGACTCTGGATCTACTGTTACGGAAGCATAGAGGTATTTATCTACTGGAGTAGATAAATAGGCATACAGCCTATTTATCTACTCCAGTTACGAAAGCATAGTAGGAACTTTTTATCTATTTCAGTTACTGAAGCATATAATGGGACTCTATATAATCCAGTTATGAAGAGGTGCTGAGGAAGACAGGCGCATTTTTGGCCAGATACGTTTAAAAAGTCTGGATATTGGCTTATGACTGAATAGGTAACACTTGGTAAAATTATCTGTTTTGCCATTTACGAGATGTTGAGAGTGAGACGTAAGAGTAGCAGGAAGTATCTGTGACGTTACACAAGGCTCAGTAATGGGTCAATCCTTTTCTTAATCCTTGACTACGATCTCCCTGAGTGGATACTTACCCTCCTCTCCATGATCGCTTATGATGCAAACATTATGAGGTGAATAAATACGATGGAAAATTGCAAGAAACTATAGATAAGAGGAGCAGCAGTTCGGGATCACATGGGAGAGGAAATCTTGCAGGAATCGAACAAAGAGATTTGAAGGGTTAATCATATATCGAACTTGTCATCAAAAGGCGACAAAAAATATCCTCATATTTATATTGAACGTTGGTTAATACAAGAACCGTCTTTAGGAACTTACACAGAGTTGTTTAGTATCTTTTATACCATTTATATCAGACCTATTCACAAATATGCGGCATTATCGTTGAGTCTTTATTTCTTTAAACACAAAACGAAACTGGAGAGAGTTGAGAAGTATACCACTAGACTAGTACAATAGCTCTGAGGTATGAGTTACAAGGAAAGACTAAAGGAGTTAAACCTCACGTCACTGGAAAAGAGAAGAAACAGGAGACATGATTTCCACATAACAAATATAAGAGTAATAGACAGAACACACTATTTCGCTTCGATAGTACACGAAAAAGGGAACGCAAATGTATACCCAATGAGCCACAGGCGTCGTATATATTTGTATTCTCTCAGCGTTAGGATAGTGTCCAAATGGAATGCGCTGAGTGAAGTGGTCGAGGCAGATTTTATACACAAATATATATGTTGATATAGCAAAGTTCAATAGGCTCTAGAACCTTAACATCCATCTATTAGGAGTTGAGAGGTGGAACCCATGAGCTGTAGTTCATCCCTTGCTATTACAACTAGATGAGTACGAACACCCACATATACATCAACACACATTCAAAGAGATATACATAAAAACATATTGCATATGGAGGAACCCATACATTTACACCCCCCCCCCCTATGAGGCCTCTAATATAAATTGATCACCTTTAATTATCTCTCATTTTTCTCATATTCATTACGTTTTAATTCCGTAATTTCAATTAACCCGTAATCACTGGATCTGGTTCCTCCGCCACAATTCTCCCTACGAAAATAAAATTAGCCAATCCTAAGTGTCGGATAATTTTATCGACTAATTTGTCAGTTAATGAGGAACATTAAATTAACATAGTCAAAATTAATTATTTGCTTATCTATAGGTTTACAGTTGTGTATAATATTGAATAAACATATTAAATATCAATAGTCTAGCAAATCGGGGCTGAGGGGATTTTTTTACTTAACTGATTCCCAGTTCATAACTGATGACATGCGAGGTTCATCAACAAGTACAAACTCCCATGATTCCACAAAGATTTATCAGGGTACGAAGCACTAGGCCTCCATGAACTGCTTCCCGCAGGAGTTATGAGGCTGTTATATGGAGCCATTCGTGTTTACGTATGTTGTTGATCTCCGAGTGGCCTCAAACTGAGGCTGGGAATCAATGAAATAAGTTATCTGGTCCCAGTGCGCAGGGGCAGAGGACACACTCTCATGGGCAGTCCGGCCCCAGCGCTCGAGCAGAGGACATGCTCTCACGGGCAGTCCGGCCCCAGCGCTCGAGCAGAGGACATGCTCTCACGGGCAGTCCGGCCCCAGCGCTCGAGCAGAGGACATGCTCTCACGGGCAGTCCGGCCCCAGCGCTCGAGCAGAGGACATGCTCTCACGGGCAGTCCGGCCCCAGCGCTCGAGCAGAGGACATGCTCTCACGGGCAGTCCGGCCCCAGCGCTCGAGCAGAGGACATGCTCTCATGGGCAGTCCGGCCCCAGCGCTCGAGCAGAGGACATGCTCTCACGGGCAGTCCGGCCCCAGCGCACACGGGCAGAGGGCACACTCTCATAGGCAGTCCGGCCCCAGTGCGCACGGGCAGAGGGTACGCTCTCATGGGCATTCCGGCCCCAGCGCGCACGGGCAGAGGGTACGCTCTCATGGGCATTCCGGCCCCAGTGCGCACGGGCAGAGGGTACGCTCTCATGGGCATTCCGGCCCCAGCGCACACGGGCAGAGGGCACACTCATGGGCAGTCCGGCCCCAGCGCGCACGGGCAGAGGCACGCTCTCATGAGCATTCCGGCCCCAGTGCGTACGGGCAGATGGCATGGTGAGCCCGAAAGTGGAGGCTCTTTGGAACCATTATCTGTAGCAATAGATGATACTAGAGATCTGGGGATGGGGTCCGTGGACGCGCCAATCAACTCCAAGACCACAAAGCTGGTCAGACCGGTGAATTGATGGGGTTCACGCATTTATACTGAGGTTCTTGAAGAGTTATATAAGCCTGGGCCAGCTCAAGAGTGTATCCTCACGTCACCAATATATGCTTGCAGTGTGAGCTTCAACTTCTGGGCACCATCTTTCAATTGCTGGTCGACAGTTGCAATAGAGTCGTTCCATCTCGCTTCTTCTTATTTCTGCTCCTTAAACGATGCATGAGTTTTTTAGTTTAGTTCTATTATTATGCACCCCATACTAATCCTTTGGGCGGTAGAGGAAAGGGATACAGAGGCACGCAGTACAGTTCTCACGCTGCAACCTGTCCTCGACTCAAATCCATTACATCCAGCGGTCGACCCCACAGACGTATTCATAAGCTTTTACATGCTGTTCAGTCAAAACGAGAATTTTATCAAATACAAATTAATATTATAATATATTAGCATATTATGCATATATAGGCATAGGTTAGGTTAGGTGCTTGGGTTCTGTTGGCGATTACTTGTATTTGTAGTATGTGGATGAAGGCTTAATAACGTTGTGGTTCGAACAAAATTCGTCAGTGAAGCACTTGTTCCGGAAGTGTTCGAACGAAATCAGGTGAGAGTCCTGTGTAAACCGTTTTTCATTCATAAACAGCGGGTGCATGGAATCACTTTTAGGTCTTTGGAGGACGGGCCGCACGCTGCATCGTTCTCACAATGAAGCCTCACACTGTATCGTTCTCACACTGTATCGGTCTCACACTGAAGCCTCATGCTATACAACTCTTACACTGAACCATTCTCCATATTTCTGATTCGCAGCCAATGAGCCAAGAAAAAGAAGTGATGAATGAGAGAGAAGTGGTCCAGTAGGGCATCACAGCCGCCCGGGATATCAGACTGGCTATCCGTCTTCCCTTTGAGCGGAGTGAAGCCGTCCTGCGTGATAGGGAACTGGGTGGCAGGAGCAGCCGTGAAATGAGGTGTTTTATAGCGCGAATTGGTGTTATATTGCGGGTAAAAATGATAGTAAGGGTGGTGGTGTTATGTGTGGGAAGGGTGGTGGTGTTATGTGTGGGAAGGGTGGTGGTGTTATGAGTGGGAAAGGTGGTGGTGCTATTAGTGCTTACGGGGTGTGATCTCTAGTTTCTTATTCCCCCAGTTACGAGCCCTGTTGTACCTGGTGCGTTATAATTTAACTATCGGGAAGTTTGATATC